AACAGGAAATATGTTGGGACCTAGTTTTTTATTTTTTTATTTCCATCCCTCAAAATGGTCTATATGCACAAATAATATTGTTAAGCTACATATCGAAAAAGTTAATTTAAATGAGAGATTTTTGGGCGTCACGGTGGCTAATTTGTACGTTTTTCACATGACTGAGCTTGTACAGATTTGCTTGATTTTAAAAACGAGGTGTGGCACCCAACCCCAAGCATAAACCCAACCGTCATTGGGTGATGAGCAAATTGTAATAAATTGTACGAATGAGATTGTACGAATTCATATCAACAAGCCACTAAATCAAAAAGTTACGAATTGCCTTGAGATTGTGTTGATGTAGGTAAATTGAATAAACTAAATTGGCTGTAGTGTATGTGTGCGAATGTGAGAGTGTATCGGTGTTTACCAGTGTTGGGTGCAGCTTGAAGGGCATCTGCTGTGTAAAACATATGCTGGATAAGTTGGCAGTTCATTCCGCTGTGGCAACCCCTGATGAACAAAAGGGACTAACCGAAGAAGAATGAATGACTAAGAGATTTGAGAGGGGTACTTGTATGTATATAAATATGTTATTTCCCACGCTTGTAATGTGTTTGAAAATGCACCTGAAAAGTGCTTAAATTTGATTTAAGCAAAACCCTTTACACTTTCTCTTTTGCACAGACATTTATATAGTTCGCATGGAAACACTTTACAATGGGGCTTCACTTGTTAACGTTACATAAATTGTGGGTTAAAAGAGAGAAATACATTGCAGCATTTGATTTGATAATCTTTGTTAGTTCAAGTAAAACAATAGCTTACTTAGCCTCACTAATGTAAACAGATACAACTAGATTTGAAGTATGCGTGATTTTTCTAACTCGCATGAACTAAAGTTAATCATGTTTCATCAATAGTTCAGGCTAATATAAATGAAACTCATACTGTAAGGGTTTTGAATATTAGTGGTGTTTTTGTCATAGTTTATGTTACATGCCTAGGGGTGTTGCTCTGTTGTTCCCTCCTCCCCTCTCTGTTTCTATTTGCTGTCTCCTATACTTCTGAAATCTAGGTGTTCCGATTGGTTGGCAGAGTTCTCCCAAGTGGACCAATCAGAAGAGGATGGGTGTTATTTAAACGCTCCAGTGATGACTCAGCCCAGATGAGAGGGGGATCCATGTTGCTTGTTGCTGCTGTGTTTTTGTAACTTTTGGTACCTATCTTATGCTCGGGTTCGCTTTAAAGAGTTTTTGTGATTTAAAAATACCAAGAGGGAAGTGAAGGGAAGTATGTCACGTGACTTACATTTTACACACACGTAGTAGATTTTTTTGTTATTCCACTAGGTAAGAGGCGGGTGCTACCATATGTATGTTTGTTCCAGTCAGTGCAGTTGAGTAAGGGGCGTGTGACGCTGAAGATGTTTTTTTTCTTATTTACATATTTCTCTTTAGTTATTTAGAGTTGGGGGAGGGATTAGTTAGCGGGTGTTTAATTTGTTATTTTCTTTGATTTGGCACCGCTTATTCTCCTTCCCTCCATCAGGTATTTTTGTTTACTTTTTGCATTTATTGTACATATTTGTAAATATACTTTGGGTGATTTAAATATTCACTTCTTTATCTTTATTGTAATAAAGCGAACCAGTTTTTTTTGCAACGTCGTTGTCTGTGTTGATTCATAGCAGTTAACATCTCAGAGGAATTCTTAAAATATTGGGTTGTCATAATTATGTTAAGCCCTTTTTCATCCTCCGAGCCACACGGGGCGTAACATAATTTGGGGGCTCATCCGGGATCCTTCCTTTTGTGTAGAGGAAGCCCGGATACTTTTGATAGCCTGTATTGTTCCCTGGGAGTAGCTGCTGTGACCCAACACAAACTTTGTAGAAATATTGATGATAGGTGAGTGTTACAAGTTTGATATTCCTGTGTAGTTGGTTGTTAACGTTAAACTCGCAATGTCTTCATTGGTGCTTCAGTTTATTGAGAATCCATCATTGGATCTCATCGATAAATTTCGTAAAGACGATTTGTTACTATTAGCTGATCACTTCCAAGTCTCTGTTAATCGGCAATTGTTAAAACGTGAGATTAAAGCTGCTGTTTTGAATGGATTGGCAGAACAAAATATTTTCAGTGTGCCTGAAGCGGTTAGAGAAGCAGATCAAATAAGTGAACATAATTTAGACGAAGGCGCTGATTCAAACAGTGTGGTGGATGGGCATGTTGACGTGGATGTGGAGGCAAAAGCTAAAACAGGTCTTCCCCCCTTTGAAGCATTTTCTCCGGTGTCACCGGGTGCTAAAGTGGATGCGCAGTTGAAGCTTCGTCTTGCTCGGCTTCGCATTGAAGCGGAGGAAAGAGCTCAAGTCCGACGTGCTGAATTTGATCTGCGGCTCGAAATCCGACGGCTCGAAATTCAGTCTGAGAAAGAGGTACAGATGAAACGGTTAGAGTTAGAGGAGAGGAAGCTTTCATCTGTCTCTACTGGCCTGCCTGCTTCTGACTCGGCTGGTAAACCAACAGCACCATGTGTTTCGACTAACTCTACGTTTGATGTAAGTAAAAACATTTCATTAGTGCCATTATTTAGAGAAATGGAAGTGGACAGTTATTTTTGTGTGTTTGAGAGAATTGCTGCTTCGTTGAGCTGGCCAAAAGAAGTGTGGACATTGCTGTTGCAATGCAGATTAGTTGGGAAAGCTATGGAAGTATTTTCCACACTGTCTTTGGAAGACAGTTTGAAATATGAGACCGTGAAGGCATCTATTTTGCGTGCATATGAGTTAGTGCCTGAAGCCTACCGGCAGAAATTTAGAAACCACAGGAAGAGCAGTAATCAGACTTATGTGGAATTTGCACGGGAAAAGGGAGTGTTATTTGATAAGTGGTGTGCTTCAAGTCAGGCAGAGGATTTTTCTACGTTGCGTGAGTTAATGCTCCTTGAAGATTTTAAGAAATGTGTGCCAGAGCGAACTGTGTTGTATTTGAATGAGCAGAAAGTTACAACTTTGGCCTCTGCTGCTGTGTTAGCAGATGAGTTTGCTCTGACACACAAAGGGGTGTTCAGTTCTGCTCATGGGGATAAAAGTAGTTCTGCTGTTTCTTTACGGCCTGCACCTCAGTTAAAACCAAAAGTAGAGCAGCCCAGAGAAAAGCGCGAATGCTTTTATTGCCGAAAAATTGGTCATTTAATTGCCGATTGTGGCCTGTTGAAAAAGAAACAACTAAATTCTAACAGTCCACAGCCTATTGGGTTGATTAAAACAATGCCAATTGCTGTTGACTCTGCTTATGAGCCATTCTTATCTGATGGGTTTGTATATGTTACGCCCCGTGTGGCTCGGAGGATGAAAAAGGGCTTAACATAATTATGACAACCCAATATTTTAAGAATTCCTCTGAGATGTTAACTGCTATGAATCAACACAGACAACGACGTTGCAAAAAAAACTGGTTCGCTTTATTACAATAAAGATAAAGAAGTGAATATTTAAATCACCCAAAGTATATTTACAAATATGTACAATAAATGCAAAAAGTAAACAAAAATACCTGATGGAGGGAAGGAGAATAAGCGGTGCCAAATCAAAGAAAATAACAAATTAAACACCCGCTAACTAATCCCTCCCCCAACTCTAAATAACTAAAGAGAAATATGTAAATAAGAAAAAAAACATCTTCAGCGTCACACGCCCCTTACTCAACTGCACTGACTGGAACAAACATACATATGGTAGCACCCGCCTCTTACCTAGTGGAATAACAAAAAAATCTACTACGTGTGTGTAAAATGTAAGTCACGTGACATACTTCCCTTCACTTCCCTCTTGGTATTTTTAAATCACAAAAACTCTTTAAAGCGAACCCGAGCATAAGATAGGTACCAAAAGTTACAAAAACACAGCAGCAACAAGCAACATGGATCCCCCTCTCATCTGGGCTGAGTCATCACTGGAGCGTTTAAATAACACCCATCCTCTTCTGATTGGTCCACTTGGGAGAACTCTGCCAACCAATCGGAACACCTAGATTTTAGAAGTATAGGAGACAGCAAATAGAAACAGAGAGGGGAGGAGGGAACAACAGAGCAACACCCCCAGGCATGTAACAGTTTAATTATAAAACATACACAGAAAAAGTCATGTACTCTTTTATTTAAAAAGATTAGACACATTTTGTGCAAACATCATCTTATAAATACATAATACGAAAGATACATTCTTTGTCATCAGGTGGCAGCGACATTAGAGTAGTGTTTTTCAGAAAAGTGTATCTGATGGTATTTGCCATTGTCTTCTATTAAATTGATGCATGTAGTTATGTACGTTCTGTCTTTAGACTACATATGAAAAAATGTCACTCATGCTATCATGTTAGAGCAGAGAAAAGTATACGAGTTATTTTTATCATGCCAGAAGTTTGGGGTTTGAGTGATTTTTATTTTTAGCTTTTGAAATGTATATCCAACTCTGCATTTGATTAAAAATACAGTGCAATCGTCCATGTTATTGGTACTTAAAAAAAAAAAAAAAAACTTAATCTTTCCATTGAAAAAAAAAAAAAATAGAGATCACTTGAAAAATCCTATTTTCTCTGCATTTATTATTTATGGGTTTGAGTTCAGTCTGGTTTCTATTGTTTCATTCTACAATTCTAATGACATTTTGTAATAATATGCCCTAAATGACAACTTATTTTAAATTGAAAACCATTGATATCAGCAGTTTACAGAATAATAAAGCAATAGCTACATACAGTAAAATATAAATGTTTTATAATCTTCACTAAATGTAATACATTTCATTTAATGCATTAACTAGCATAATTAGTGTCTTTTTAAAAAAATCTTCATGGCCCCAAACTTCTCAATAGTAGTCAAGTGAATTTAATGAAATGAAATAAGTAAAAAAATGTATTTATAGACAAATAAAAGCTGTAAAATCTGAAATTATTTAAATCAAAGCCGCATACTTTTATAATTGTACATCATTCTTCGTTATTTGTTTGTCAGTATCGGGATTTGTGGCACATGCTGCAGCGACAGGCCCGCGCAGACAGGATCTCCATATCAGCATGATGGCGCCCTCGAGGACAGTGAAGACGAATTTTAACCTATGACAACACACACCAAAAAATGAATGAGGTGATAAAGACAGAGCAAACATAGGCTACTTTCTTTTCATATTTTCTTAGTAAACATTTTAGCCAGAACAGAACAGATAATTATGACTGTGCTAGTGGAAATGTCCTGAAATCCACAAAGGACCCTTGAAGTGTTTTCTCGTAATGGGTCATAATTGCTGCTTCTGATGTAAAACAGTGTTTAGTTATAAAATAATGGCCCTAATCTGGCACGGATGCATTTTACCTTGGCGTCTTTGCTGATGGTGCAGCAGCGGGAGGAGGAAGTGATGTTGTGGGTGAAATTGGACGCGAGCAGCACTGAGTACCGCGAGGGGAAAGCGCTGGACTCGCAGTATCCCACACACGCGTACACCAGTTGGGTTCCTCGGCATGTCCCCCTCTTGTCAGTCCGTACCGTCACGTTAAATGCTGTGTGCAGACAGAGAGACGACATGTGTTGGCTAGGCAGAGAAAACGAACTGAGGATCTGTGGGGGACATTCTAAAACTCTTAATGTGGATACAAACATCAACCAGAAAAAACAAAAACTAATTTCTGTCAAAATTTACTTCTAAACTCTAACTACTGTTAAAACAACAAGCCAAAATCCCACAGATAAAGTGAATATAGGCTACCACATAAGTGTTTTCTCCCACATTGAATTCCATTATAAGGAAACGCTTAACAAGGCTTAATGTACCTTAACAACAAGCAAGGGAAACCAAATTTCTGTCAGATATTAGGTATTAGGCTACTCATGACAAACATTTTCTGATATCAAAAGAACAAGCTCTTATATCAGCCCGCTCTTTCTAGTTACAGTAGTGTTAATTACGAGTAAAGTTTGACAGAAATGAGGAGTTTCACTGGTTGATGTTTAGGTAAGCCACTTCAAGCATTTTAGAATGTCCCATCTGTCAGCCGGCCATTTCTTTGTGCTGTCACAGTTTTAAACAATGTTAATATCTAAATATTAGTGGGAAAGATCAGATAACGAAGATATTCAGTATAAATCTGCATATGTGATGGACATTGCGTTCCTTACTAAAACTAACCGACAGTTTCAGTAAAAGGTTAGGCCTATGATGTTTATTTGTTTGTGGTGCATTTAATAATATTTTTTACAACAATGTTTACTATAAATACCCCAGGAAAAAATGCTACAAATTCCCTTACATTTCATATGGTTCCATTTTTGGTTCCCATTTTTTAGAAACCAAATAAAACATACTGGAAACCTTTTTTTGTTTTGGTAGAAATATTTACTTTAAAGAGTAAACCTAAAAAAAGAACTTTCCTGTAGCATTCTCAAAATCCAGAGGGAAATGGGAACGTTCTATGCAAGTAAAAAAAAAACAACTAACATGGCTAATTACCAATAGGAAACAATCTGGGAACCAGAAGTCATTGGCTGCATATGGTTACATTATGAAGAGTGTAGCAGTGATTAATTGGTTCTTACTATGTTTTGTAGCAAATTCAAAGCTAATTTGGTGATTTAACTATTGTTTAACCAAAGACTCAAACCAGAAGTGAGATGGAAGTTTGTTGTACATATTGAGTACATTTTTAGTGAGAATGGACTGATTAAAAAATAAGTTGTTTCAACTCACGGTAAAGGTGGCAGCCAGGAGTCAGGGTTTGAATACTCCAGCTAATCGGCATTAGCAGCACCAGCAGAAGCACTGCCAGATCAGAAGATACACAACGAAACATGGCCTTGTACACCTGCAAGAGTTAAAGCAATTTAAACTAATGCAGTCATAATTCATGTAACCATTAAGTCACTTTCTAAGAGAGCAAATGACCAGTGGTTCAAGCATTTAATAAGTTTAAGCTTTTACTAAATAATGATTTCATTTAGATAAACATTTAAGTCATTTGGCCTTTTGCAAGAATCATTGGCTTAATTGCAAGAACTGACTTTCCTGAGTGTTGTCTTGGGAGTTGTCAAAATAATCAGAAAATGAATCTTCCTTTACTCATCAGTTTCTAAATTAAATTTTCAGCACACACGTCTGGCATAAGATATGAGACCATTTTAGATCAGTTATATTTATGCATATACATGTATGGATGTACTTAATTTCAATAAACAATTCAGATCAATTATGTTTAAGCATATACAGTTGAAGTCAGAATTATTAGCCCCCATTTGATTTTGATTTTATTTTTTTAAATATTTCCCAAATGATGCTAAACAGCAAGGAAAATTTTCATGGTCTGATAATATTCTTTCTCCTGAAGAAAGTTCTATTTGTTTTATTTCGGCTAGAATAAAAGCAGTTATGATTTTTTAAGCACCATTTTAAGGACACAATTATTATCCCCTTTAAGCTTATTTTTTTAAGACGGTCTACAGAACAAACCATCGTTATACAATAACTTGCCTAATTACCCTAACCTGCATAGTTAACCTAGTTAAGCCTTTAAATGTCACTTTAAGCTGCATAGAAGTGTCTTGAAAAATATCTAGTCAAATATTATTTACTGTCATAATGGCAAAGATTAAATAAATCAGTTATTAGAAATGAGTTATTAAAACTATTATGTTTAGAAATGTTGAAAAAAAAATCTCTTCATTTAACAGAAATTGGGGAAAACATTAAGCGAGGTCTAATAATTCAGGGGGGCTAATAATTCTGACTTCAGCTGTACATGTATGAAAGTTTAATTCCAATACAGAATAAATAATACTTAAAACATAAGAATAAACACACACACAAACCTATTTATATACATTACATTTAAATGTATATCCATCAATTTCTAGCAAGCATACAGAATTTTGCATGAAGATACAAGCGGGTAGAAATGAATGAATGCAGGGATATATAAATATTAATAACTTGTCCCTGAGTGAAATGTTATTTAAAAGTTTTTTTTTTTTTTTTGTCAGGAGTTGTAGATAGTAGATAACAGAGAAATCAGTATTACATTTCTTCATCATCTCAAACCAAGACATCCAAGTACCAAACCAAAAATTTTAAAGGAAACAAGTAAAGTTTACCTGCAGATGTGGATCTTCCTTCAGAGATGAAGTGTGCAGAGCTCAGACAGGTGCCAGGTGTTGTTCTTCCTCACAGAGCACATATATGTAGTGCAGGTAAAACGGAGCCCTCAGCTTCTAGTATAGTCACACCCACTTACCAATGTCCTCATGCATGTAACAGGACCCTCCCCATGGCCTCTACATTAACATTATTTCACTGCTTTACTGCACTTGCTATTATTCCGTTCCTACCCTATTCTTTGATGGTTACCGAACTTCATGAGCCTTTGCATGTTCTTTAAGCTCTCACACTCCAGTCTTTGTTTACATACAAGTGTCTGTAAATCCAAGTACTAAACACTGATGCTATAATTCAGTTAATTCAGTGTCAGTGTCAATCACTGCAGATGTTGTAGGCAAAATTGGCATATGTATTAAAGTGATACAGAATACAGTAATTCTGGGTGGCACAGGTACATTTGTCAAACTAGTGAATTAAAAAATGATTTTATATGAATGACTCTTGACCAGTGACAACTGATCTTTTCCACAAAGGTGTGAAATTCACCATATTGTTTTTCAAAAACATTTTACCTTAATACCTCTTTTTTTAAAATTAAATATTTCACAATGTATGTCAAATTGTTATAGTGCATTCAGAAAGAACAGTGCAAAAACAAAGTGGTCTTGTTTCTAGAACAAATATTTAAAAAGTCTTTTATGCAGGAAGCATTTCCTGGACGAGCGAAAAATATTGTCTTGCTTTAAATAATCATTGAAAAAATTAAGTTTGTTTTTCCTTAAAACGAGCAAAATAATCAGCCAGTGGGGTAAGTAAAATAATATATTTTTTTCACCTTGAAATAAGATTATTTCGCTTACCCCTGTAGGCAGATTATTTAGCTTGTTTTAAGAAAAAAAAATCACTTAATTTTTACATTATTTCTGAAAACAAGACATTTTTTATACTGGTCTAGAAAATGCATCCTGATTTATGAATTTGCACATATTTAGACTAGAAACTAGACAAAAACTCTTAGAAAAGCATTTTTTTTTCAGTGTACTACACATTTTTCATGTTACAGCCTTATTTCAAATGATGTGAATCCCATTTTTAAAAAAGGTTAACTTTTCAACAGGACACTGACCGTAAGCACACAGCAGTTTACAAAAGCAGTGGCTATGGAGAACTCAATAAATGTCTTTGAGTGGCCCAACCAGAGCCCAGATCGGAACCCAATTAAACACCTCTGTAGAAATGTGAAAATAGTTTTCGAAATAAATAGTTGTTGCAAGCTTGGAGTATCATACTCAAAGAGACTTGGAGCTGTAAATGATGCCAAAGGTGCCTGAGCAGAGTACTGAGCAAAGGCTGTAAATACTTATGTATTTGTTTTCAGGTTTTTTTCTTCACTTTTATCAATTGGTGAAGTTTTGTTTCTCGCCACTGGCTTGCTTGGTTTTGGCACTTGTGGAGCTATGCATCAATGGATTTGCTCTTCAGTGTTTAGACTTGAAGCAGTGAAAATCAAACCACGCTGAAATTCAACTCTGGAAACTGGACTGACACTGTATCAATGTACTAGAACTTCTATGTTAAGCTGCTTTGACAATCTACATTGTAAAAGTGCTCTAGACATAAAGATGAATTGAATTTTGTTTTGTATTTTAAATAAATTTGCAAAGATTTCAATCAAACATTTTATGTACTTAGAGAAAACAATGAATGTAATACATTTGGAAACAAAACTCTAACCACAAAATGTGGAAAAAGTGAAGCACTGTGAATTTCTGGATGCTCTGACATCAATTCATTTCGAGCAGTAAGACACTCTCTGTTACATTGAAATAAGTATGGATAAATGTCTTTGCACAGCAGATGTTTCTACAAAAGCTTGATCTGAAGTAGCATGTAGATTATTTACACAGACCTTTTATTTCAGATTTATTTAGAGTGAAACAGCACTGCATTTGTCAAGGAAGGTTCTGTTGTGCCTTTTTTAGAACTTTTATTAAAGGCATAGTTTACCCCAAAAATTATCGTTTACTCAGGCTTTGGTTGACTATAGAGTCCCGAGATCTGTTTGGTACTGACATTCATCCAAATATCTCCCTTTGTGTTCAGCAGAACAAATGAATTTATACAGGAGTGGAACACCCAGAGCATGAGTAAATGATGACATGAATTTTCATTTTTGAGTGAACCAAAGCTGCCAATAACATCAAAAGATATTAGGAAAGTCACTTACTTCTTCATTTGTATGATACTTCTTAATTATATGCTATCAATAAAAGAAACAAGTCTCCATTAACTTCTTACCGCATTATGTACTTTTTTAGGCTATTATTTTGTATTCTTGTTAAAATTTACTTTTGTGAAGTTTATTTATAAACTAATTTCGAGAGGATCACATGCTTATGATTGCTTGCAGCTGGCCCCGCATTATTCTACTTATGATTTATCAATCAGATGACTCCTAAGCCACTATAAATAACCTAAGTTCCATATAACAGCCATCTTCGTTTTAAAGAATCCCCCCTTCCACCCCTACTTCTCCTCCTTTCCTAGATGGGTAGCACGGTGGCCCAATGGTTAGCACTGTTGCCTCACAGCAAGAACGTCACTACTTCTGGTCCTTACTAAGCCAGCAGATGTTTCCGTCCGAAGTTTATACGTTCTTCCCATGCTCACTTGGATTTCCCCCGGGCTCCGAGGTTTGCTCCCACCGTCCAAAAACATCAACTTAAGTTAATGGAGTTCTTTTATTATAATCAATGGTTTTGTTTGAACACTTTCATGCATATTTTTTACTATGTTTTTTGAAGAATAGAAAAAAAAGAAAGAAAATGAATTGCCTTTTTTTTTTTTTTTTTTTGCAACAATGCAAAAGTAGTCTGTTATTTCTGTCCTTGCTGAGTAAAAGGAACCATTAGAGAAAATCATGCAACTCTTCAAACATGCATTCCCGGCTGCTGACTACACTTGCAAACTGCTAATAACCCATTCACTTTCCAACACGCACAATTCATTAAGTCATTGGAAATGGAATGGATGACATAATTCATAATTCTCTCCCACCTCCCCACCCCTCACCCGCTCAGCATGATTCATACCTCCAGGTCTCCTCAGCTTTTGTCACAGGAAGGAGTGTAATTATACAGAGATATTAAGATGTATACAGAGCTGGCTTTTTTTAGAAAACATTCAGAGCTTGATTGACACGGGGGTTTAAAGGTCGAGATATTAATATAATCAGCCCATCGAGTGAAAAACGTGAGACCTTGTCCTCTCCTGTTGTCTTGGCAGCTGCTATACACACCTAAAGTACAAGCGGATGTATTAATTAATGTATTAAGCTGATTCATCATGGTTTCCAGGTTACGACTTTACGTAAACTCTGCAAATAAACACAAGAGAGATAAATCTAGGCTTTTTTTTGAGTCATGAACCCAAAGTTATAAGTCTTTGACAGATTCAAGAGAGCATCAGCTAATTCTCCTTTGATCCTGTCATCATTAGTAGAGACAGACAGAAGCAATGGGAGACAAGAGGATCAGGCGTGTTTAGCCTTGGCCGATGACCTCACCTTTTTGAGAGTGGTCTGCCACACACACACTCTATTAAGTGAACACTGCAAAAACACGCACACACTAAAACCCTCCATGTTCTATTTAGGTGAACACACATGACAGAACATACAATGTAATTTCAGGCTTAGTGAGAGTGACATGCAACAAAAGGATTTTTCAACCAAGCAACAGTTGGTATGTATTTGAAACACTTTCATCCAATGCAAATGAACACGGGTTGAACCATTATTGATATGTTTTTCAGAATTGAACAAATGGTACTTTTCTCAGTCTTGTAGAAGCACGAAACTGCTGCTTTTTTGATAAAACAGGTGAGAGCTCTTTTAGTGTTTGAACCTTTTACCTTGCAGAACTCTTATTGAAGAACACAGAGAAGGGAAACAGTGAGCTGTGAAAAGAACATCAAGAGGAACTCAGACTCATAGAACTCGTTCATAGACATTAATGGCTTAATTTCTTTTTTTGGGGTGGGGGGTATGTAGGGGGCAGATTCGTAAAGTGACTGAAAGCAATCATAATTGTAACTATTATATTTGGTGTGATGCAATATTGACAAATTGCAAATCTAAATCATATCTCAGTAAAGATTTCTTACCTGGCCATTCTCGCAATGATCCCACTGTTCTGTCCTGAGTTTGAATCGTGACTCTTAGGAGCAGCTAAACAAGATGTAAAAAGCACATCATATTAAAATCATTATATTAAATCAATTCTTACTATGTTTAAACTACTCAAAGACAAATTCTGAAACACTTTAAATCTACTAAAGCTTTGGCAATGAAAAACTTTTCATTTTTCATGAAAATTTTTTTTTTTCTGGTCAAATGTTATGTAAAATCACATGTTAGTTGGCAGCTAGCGCTTTGTAACTCTCAAATGGTTGCCCACTGAAGTTAAGCAGGGCTGCGACTGGTCAGTACCTGGATAGGAGACCACATGGGAAAGCTAGGTTGCTGCCAGAAGTGGTGTTAGGCCCCGTTTATACTAATACGTCTTAGTTTAAAAATGGCGTTTTAGAATAAAAACAGTCCACGTCCACACTGGCGTTTCATCTAGCGTTTCTGAAAAGATCTCAGTCCACACTACATTGCTGAAAATGCACATCACGTGACCACACACACACAGTCTGGCATGCGCTGCAGCGTATAGGTGCGTCTGAGCTCTAGGCAGTCAGCAGGTGCTTTGAGCACACCTCCCTAGATGAGAGCAGCGCACATCGGACACTTTATCAAGTATCTACCGTTGAATGTCATCTCACTAAGTTATTAAACATGATATTTAATTCATTTAATGTCTCTATCTAACGACTCATTGGTATTTTTAATCTATTGTTCTCAGAGAACGTGTTTTGGCTGAGTGCAAAGATAAGTTATATATTAATTTTTGTAACTACATAGACTGATTCTGCACATTAAGCGATTGCTTGCCTTTATTTCCTATATTGTATAAACTTATTGCATTATTGATTGACATCGTTGATTATTAAAACTGATATTAAACAAAAGAGTGGTAAGTTTAGTATTTTTAATGAAAATGAAAGGAGGTAGTAATGTTACAGTCTCCGTTTTATAAAAACAAAATACAGTGACGATGACGGTCAGATAAATATTTAACTACACGATATCTTAACATTTATGGTGTCTGTTAAATATCAAAATGAAAATAGGCAGTTCCTTATATCATGTTTTCATTTTATTGTTAAGATGATGTAGCCAGGGCGATGCAAATGACGTTATAAAGTCCAAACTTGCAAAGTCTGAACATAGAAGGAAAGGATGTAAGACTGAACTTTGTGTATTTCAATCTGCAGTCTGTGTGGATCCTAACGCTACGATATATTGATGGGGACTCTATACTGATCAGTGAGTGCCCTCTTTCAGATGTGATGTTAAACCGAGGTCCTGACTTGCTGTTGTCATTAAAAGTTCCAGGATGAAAAAAAAAAAAGAGTAAGGCTTTAAACCTGGCATCCTGGCCAAATATTCCCACTGGCCTTTGTCCATCATGCCCTCCTAACTATCCCCAAATCATAATTTGCTTCATCACCCTGTCTCCTCTCTACCAATAAGCTGATGTGTTGTCTGCGGTCTGGCGCAAAATGGCGGTAGTTGCATCATCCAGGTGGATGCTGCATACAGATGGTGAATGGGGAGATTCCCCCCAAAAATTTGTAAAGCGCTTTGAGTGTCCAGAAAAATGCAACATAAATGTAAGGACTTATTAATTAATATTATATTGGATAAATGTACAAAAAAGCTACTATGTACTAAAAATTGAGCTGTTTTAATTGTGTTTTAGAATAATTTCACATACAGACAATAATTTTTGTCAAAATGATCCCGTTCACATGGATCTGCATTAATGACTGTAAGTGCAATGTCATTGGCATCTTGAGTTGCAACAGAAAGTCCTGCAGTCTGCCATTGTTGTTATGTTGTCAAGTTCTCGCACATGCCTTTAGATCGAACAGCCAATATGCATGACATCAGCATTTTCATAAAATCATATTTTCTTTTTGTAGTTTGTGATTATTTTGTTGGACAACTTATTTGAATCAATTATTTCATTCTACAAAAACAAAAAAGCAGTGCTTTGATGACTAATAACAGCACTGAATGTAGGAAAATCTGACATGTTGAATATGCAATTTACCATCACACACTTCTGGCTCTTGTAGACAAGTCGCATCTGAATCAGCATGAATCTAAAGAAGAAAAAAAAACAAAAGCAAAACACAAGCATGATCAAACTGCCTATGATGGATGGTTTCACAAATAAAAAGTACCTGAAACAGGTATTTTTATCAGCTTCTATAATTAACATAATAGTGTATTTATGCCACCCGAATGAGCTAATATGTCAGATTGTGCACCCTGCAGGGGCAATCAAAGATGATTAACAATTGAGACAGTGTGTGTGAGTGAGTGATGGAGAGAAAAACTGGCTCCCCAACACACACATTCATACACTAACCTTAGTGCCACAAACCATCGCTTCTGCACCAATGGCCGAAAAAGGGGACTCCCTGAAAGAGACACATAAGGAGAAAGATCTATTTGTTCTATTTCTTATGACATATTCAATTCCTGTTCCCTTTTCCAGCACGTTTAACATAAAAACAAAAGACAACCTGTTTGAGGCACGTCTGCAAGAACATCAGCCCCGGGGCTTACACACACACACACACGCACACACACACACACACAGTCCCTTTGAAAAGCCATCTATTTCTGACTCTGCACCAGGCGAGTTGTGTAAACTCCACTGAATTACTGGAGGCCTCGCCAGAATGAAGCAACATCATAATTTTCTCATCGCCCACCACAAACAAAATGAGGACATGACGGGATTAAAAGTACACGTCAAATTGGGTTCTCCGCTAGCTTATTGATTTGTGCATCTCTGCCTATGCGGAGGAATTGGATGAGATGGGATGTTATTTTAACAGCTAAATTATTATGTTATGCCTGCTGACTGAGTGACAGCTTCATTGAGATGGCGCCCTGTGCTCAGGCAGTTTCATAACTACTGCATATGACTCAATAACTCTTCACTCGGGTCAACAATCTTATCAAGCATCCCTTAAACTGGAAATTCCCACAAATGTCTTCTTGCTTCGCGTCTGTCTGACAGAAAAATCCCGTGTAATTTATTTAGAATCACTATCTTGCGATTGCATGGGTTGAGTGATGACCTGGATTCATCATCAATGATGACTGGCATCTGTTTACTGTGTCATGAGCACATTAGTCTACTCTTATTAGTAGCTCATTTGCATATATTATTTGCTATATTATTTGCATTTCTGTTCTGACTCACAATGCATCCAGCAAGGCCTTGTGGAAGCCTGACACGAGACTTCATGTGTTGCAATAGTAATTTCTAAACATAAATATCTTAAAGACACGTGACACTTAAGAAAGAGTCATTAGCTCATTTGGCATACATAAAAGACACAATCTACCAAACTTACTGACAGCACTGTAAATCCTCTGAGCTTAGTTTATTCTGCTTGTGTTGGCTCATATTGCCCTCTTCTGGAGGATCCATCACAGTGGTTTGGTGCATCTTCAATGGCTCACAAGCACACTGTGCTCTTTTCATTGTAGGAAATGTCTCCTGTGTGCATTGACATTTAATTTAGTCACACGTCATGATTTTGTATTAACATCTATGTTGATCATGGAACATCATTTTGTTCGAAAATGTAATCAAGGCCTATTCCTAACAATCATGTGGAAGTGCCTAAACCTAACCGTAAGTCTAAACTTAACATAAACTGCAAACGTATCTCTTAATTCTGATTGGCTGATTGGAATGTTGTTCCAGGATCAACATAGATGTTAATCCAGGAACATGTCCTGCTTGGTGAAATCAGGCTGGCGTAATTTAGTCAGCTTGTGACAGATGCAAACACATGATGTTAAAAAATGATTGACAGCTTGAAATGTTAAATTAAGAAATTAACCACAAAATAATTTCAACAGGACTAAATAATTCACAAAATAAAAATGAGGATACTCACCGCTGTGTTCCAGTCACTGGTGTTTGTCACTGTTAAACAAGAATAAAGTTTATTTAAAGGATTAGTTCACCCAAAAACATGGATTGCATTATTAAAGAGTCATTCTGATGTCTCTTTAGTTCTCTGAGACCTTCGTTCATCTTCATTATTTACTTGAAATCATAGAGCTCCCTCATCCCTCCCTGTCAAGGTGTGTGTTCGTTACAGACAGTACAATGCACTGCCATCCGCTTGTTAAGTGTGATGACATGCGAAGTGGCTTCCGGGTCCAAGTGCTATAACAAACTATACGGGGAGGCTCATCAAATGGTAATAATAAACGTTTATAAAGCGATGTAATACTTTTGAAAATCACAATATATATATATATATATATATATATATATATATATATATATATATATATATATATATATATGCATGTATGTATGTATGTATGTGTGTGTGTGTGTGTGTGTGTGTGTATATATATATATATATATATATGTATATATATATATGTATATGTATGTATGTATGTACGTATGTGTATGTGTGTGTATATATATATCCCTCCTTATAATTTTTCATTTTTTTTTTTTTTTATATTTTCCAAATGATTTTTAACAGAGCAAGGAAATTTTCACAGTATGTCTGATGATATTTTTTCTTGTAGAAAAAGTCTTATTTGTTTTGTTTCGGCTAGAATAAAAGCAGTTATTAATTTTTTGAAGCCATTTTAGGGATAAAATTATTAGCCCCTTTAAGCTATTTTTTTTCTCGATAATCTACAGAACAATCTACTGTTATACAATAACTTGCCTAATTATCCTAACCTGCCTAGTTAACCTAATTAACCTAGTTAAACCTTTAAATGTCACTTTAAGCTGTATAGAAGTGTCTTGAAAAATATCTAGTCAACTTTTTTTTACTGTCATTATAGCAAAGATAAAATAAATCCGCTATTAGAAATGAGTTATTAAAACTATTATGTTTAGAAATGTGTTAAACAAATCTTCTCCCAGTTAAACAGAAATTTGGGGAAAAAACAAACAAGCGGTCTAATAATTAGGGGGGGGCTAATAATTCTGACTTCAACTGTGTGTATATATATATATATATATATATATATATATATATATATATATATATATATATATATATATATATATATATATATAACCAAGTGGCGGCACCCAGAAACAGTATTTCATACATCATGACTTCACAAGCGGATTATAGTCTGCAGTGCAAAACACAAGCGTCGTATTGAATGTAATACTAGGCCTGGGCGAAGCAGGTAAAATATCTAATTGTGATTGTTCTAAAGAATATTACAATTACAAATTGATTCGCGATTTAATTTTGTAGTCAAGCTTCAGCTCAATAATCTATAAGCCGTGGCAACAATTCTGTGACCGCTCTTACAAAATTAACTGTTTTTGTTTGATGTCTGTGACTTTGTCCGCGCTTTATTATTTGTTTTTATTGTGGGCGTTCCACATAGTTCGGTTGCGCAAATCTGATTGGGCAGACCGAAAGTGTGCTCACTCAATTGGCTAGTGAGACTATCCCAGACAGCAGTCATGCATTTGCTCTGGGTGGGGGAAATTAAATAATACATATGTATATTTCATACCACAGCCTCTTGCGATTTAGCTAATCGCAATTAGAAACATTTCAAATTTCGATTGTGATTTGATTTCGATTAATCACACAGCCCTAATCTCATGCTGAAGACAGATGAACAAAGTATTTTTTTTAAACAGTATTTCTGGTGCATAAAACTTCGAGCTACATAAGATTAAAGTTGAACCACTGAAGTCACATGAAATGTTTTGACAATGTTTTGGCATCTTTTCTGGACAGTTGTTGTCTATGGAGGATAAGGGAGCTCTCAGATTCCATCTGAAATTACTCAATCTGTGTTCAGAAGATGAATGAAAATCTCCTGGAACTGAAACAACAACAGGATAATTATTAACAGATTTTCACTTATTGGATGAACAAACCTTTTCAAGTATGTATTGTAGTGAAGAGATGGTTTAGTGTAGTATAGAAGTGTAGTAGAGAGGGCTCCCACCTGTGTGTTGAAAGGCTGGTTCACGATACTCCACATACAGTGTTATCAGGAAGGGATATGGAATAAGGTCTTGACCCTCTTTCGTAAACCTCATTTTGGACACTTGTTCCCATTTCCTTTTGTCTGTGGGACAAAGATATCAAGATATCAAAACAATAAAATTGTGATATGACATAATTTTTTAACATTAGCCATTTCTGAGCAATAAAATGACTATGATGCTTTTTTATTTTTACAGAAGACACTTGGTAAAACATGTCTTCGTGTAACACCATTTAATATATCTTAACAAATACACATTGACAAGCATATTAAGGACACAAATGATTTGATGACATAATAAACTGGTATTTAAGGAGCACAGTGCTGAGTACTTAGAGCTGCAAAATATTGGAAAAATCTGACATTGCGATACTTTGTTTTGCTTCGATATGAATATAAATTCTTCAGATTAATTGAATTTCTCTATTTGGAAATTTTAAATTATCTAATTATAAATTAGATCGACTAGGGTGACAAGTTCTTTTCTATGCAGTGCATAAAATATAAATTACAAGCAAATATAAATATACGACAGAGCAAAAAAAAATCCAATAATAAACAGTGCTATATGGTTTCCTGGGGAGTCTAACAGTATTCAGGTACAGAAATTTAACAATCAAACATAAAATAACTTGGTCATCATTGTATAAATTATTTCAATGTGACTACTGCAGATACACACATTGCGATATCGATGCTCAAATGAAATATTGTTTAGCCCTAGTCCTCATACTCCTTGTTATTTTAAAACTAACATTGCCATTATCCTTCAGACCACTAGGTTGTACCCATTTGTCAGCAAAACATTTTCAGTTATTTAAAATGAATATAAGAATTTAAACCATGACCTTGAAGTTTGTATGTTCTCCCCATGTTCGCATGGGTTTCCTCCGGGTGCTCCGGTTTCCCCCACAGTCCAAAGACATGCGCTATAAGTGAATTGGGTAAGCTAAATTGTTCGTAGTGTATGTGTATAAATGAGTGTATGGGTGTTTCCCAGTGATGGGTTGCAGCTGGAAGGGCATAGTTGAATTGGAAGGGATAATTTGGCAGTTCATTCCACTGTGGTGACCCCAGATTATTAAAGGGACTAAGCCGAAAAAGAAAATGAATGAATGATGACCTTATTTTGTATATTTTATTTATTCATTTATTCATTTTCCTTCGGCTTAGTCCCTTAATTCATCAAGGGTCGCCACAGTGGAATGAACCGTTAACTTATCAAGCATATGCATTACACAGCGGATGCCCTTCCAGCAGCAAGCCAGTACTGGGAAACATCCATACACACTTATTCACACACATACACTACGGCCAATTTAGTTTATTCAATTCACCCATACTGCATGTTTTTGGATTGTAGGGGAAAACGGAGCACCCGGAGGAAACCTACACAAACACTGGAGAACATGTAAACTCCACACAGAAATGCCAACTGACCCAGCCGAAACTCAAATCAGCGACCTTCTTGCTGTGAGGTGACAGTGCTTACCACTGAGCCACTGTGTTGCCATTCTATATTTGAATACGTACTTAGTAAATATATTAATAAGAATGTTTCTTTTTCTACATAACTGTTTTACTGAATGACAATGTAACAGGATTTTACCCATATCTTTACTTAATTTGTCACCATTTACTGACCATCTGGTTATCCAAACATCTATGGCACTCTATTGTCTGTTAGATATAGATTATGTTAAAAAAAGTTCTGTCTTTGTCTATCTAAGGGTAACTAAAGCTGACATCTATAATAAAAAAATCTTCTTTTGTGTTACTCAGAAGAACTAAAGTAATTTTGGTTTGGAACAATATGAGTGAATAAATGATGACAGATTGGTCACATTGGGCAGACTGTCCCTTTCACTTATATTAAGAAAAGCTTACAAGGAAAAATGTTGAAATTTTGAGTTGTGAAAGGATGAAGATCATCTAAGTTTGCCAAAACCGCCCGCACAGCATTCTGCAAAACAAAAATCACACCAATTAAATCTTCCCAACGTTTACTAAATCAAATCCAAAATGATAATCCAGGTCCTGATAACCTCCAGCTCCTCACTGACTAGCGCCCCATCCAGCATGTCCTCCTCATCAATGCTGCAAGACAATATCCAAAGCTGACATTGATTTTTTTGTATATAAAGTTATAATCAGAATAAGACAGCATACTTTGTATTTTAAACAAGTCATATAAACTTGCATGGTCTTGCCTGCTCATGTCTCCTCGTCTTATCTTGAATTTGAAAACACGTTGTTCAGCCAGGAAAAACCTGGTCTCGGGTAAAGGGAAGGTAAAAGCCTGGATTGCCATAGTTAATAACAAATGCTCCACTGGAAAAAAATTCAAAAATTCGAAAAATATACATTATGGAACTAAAACAGTTTACAGAAATAAAATAATAGTTTACAGAATTCAAGAATGCTAAACAATTGTAGCTAGTTGGAACAAATTACCAATACCGCAAATCTCTGTAAATTATGTTTTAAATTTAAACCAATTTAAAAACGTTTAGTTTAATTAACGTCACTAAATGGAAAGGACATGGTTAATGAATAACCTTACCCAGATGTAAGTGTAAATTACCGTAATGACTCAAGTATTCTACGCTGGCTGTATGTTAGAGCGCGAATATTTCAGTCAGATGTCCCGCTCCGCCCTCAGATTAAGACAAAAAACTCTGATTGGTCAAGTGTCCTATCCATTAAAGCGCGTTACCGCTGGTGATGAGAGTTCCTCTGACCTCACGCAAATGTGTTCCACCCTTTTATTGTCACATGATCTAGTTAGGTTGAGCGTGTTGTAAACCTGCCGCTGACATTGATAAGACTGACTGTATCGCAAAGTTTATCTTCTACATATTTCAGGTAGAACATAGATAAATTAACATTGTTATTTACAGAACAGATCACTGGACCTTGACCGTTTTGAAGTCGTATGCTGACTGTTTGTCTTTTCATTTCCAGAAAGCCTGCATGGTGAGTTTATGTCTCTGAATATAAAATGCTCTCATTCTATCTCTTCCCCCTCCATTTAATTGTAACGTTAGACCATTTATTGCAGTGATGTGTTGCATTTTGTTTTCATGCACTTTTCATGTACTTGCAAGTGATTGCAGGTGATCTGCATTAGTTTGCATAGTCTAACAAACATTTTCTTATTTTATTTATGTACTTTAGTTTTCATACTCTAATTAAAATATGCTTGTTTATCCAGGTTTTCTGCAGGCTTCATTAAGTCAAATTTAAGACTTTTAAGACCCTTTTATACCATTAAGAATTACATTATACAGATTTAAACACACCCTGATAAAGGAATTTAATGGGAAAGTTGCTGTAACAGTTGTTGTGATTTGTATTTATTGTCAATAAAAATGTATAAATATAAAAAATAAGGTTTTACTGAAATGTATCGTTGGTGATTGGATGAAAGTCGGCCCGAATGAGTAGCATTACTAGGAAAAAGCTAAATTAAGATCTGTTAAAAATGATTTCAGACCTACAGCACAATATTTAAAATACAAAAAACTAAATTTTAGACATTTTAAGACCCAGCAGACAAATTAAATGTAAATCAAAGGCGGCAACACCAAGGCTCCAAAAATACAAATTTATTAAATTAAAAAGGCTGACACAGAGCGTGACCCAGCAGACACCCTGTTTATTCTTCAATCCATTCTTAATTCGAGTGGATATGTTTTGTTACTTCACCTTGCATAATTTCTCTTTCCACAATTTTAGGCAATATGCATGTTTTACCTTTATTTTAATTAAATTATCTTTATTTAATCTAAAGCCTTTGTTTCATCATTATACATCTTCATGCACTAGAGCAGAGATGCCCAAAGTTGGCCCATGCATGGTAATCTTTGATTTGACCCACTATCCATTCATGATGGGCAACTGCCTATGACAGAGATTGCCATTTTTACATTGAACGTAACCTTTTGTTTGTTTTTTGTTGCTCAGCAATAAAACAAAGAACTACAATTAAAGGTTTCAATCAGAATTCATTTAAATGTTGTAAATAAATCAGACTTCTAAAATGTAAATAGGGTCTCTTAACATGTAGATCAAGTTAAAGGCAGGAGCAGTTTGATTAGTGTATTCTGCATTGAACTCCATTGTGTTATGAATGGGATTGTTTATGTTTTACTGTTCATTATAAAAAAAGTTAATTATAAAATCTTAAAAGTGATACTGCATTAGTAGAGTTTTTTTTCTAGTTATTGTTAAATATTACAGGAAAATTAGGAAATTACCCAAGGCAAATTTAATATATGCACGCCCACAGTCCTCAATCTAGTTTGCTTTTTTGCCCTTTATAGGAAAAAGGTTTGGGCACCCCTGCACTAGAGTTTCCACAGTCTCCAAAGCTTTCCTGCTTCTCTCATAATGACTGACCCTCAACCATCTGTACTGCTCAACAATGATATTCAGATGCCTCTGTTGGGATTGGGCACTTTCCGTTTGCAGGGTCAAGAAGACACTTACAGTGCTGTGGACGCTGCTTTAAAGGCCGGTTATCGTGCCTTTGACACTGCTGCAGTGTATCGTAATGAGGCACATCTAGGTCATGCCCTCCGTTGCCTGCTGCCCAAGCATGGCCTCTCACGAGAAGATGTTTTCATTACTAGTAAACTGGGTCCTAAAGATCAAGGCTCCAAAGCCAGGAATGGTTGCCAGAAGAGCCTGGAGCAGTTGGGACTGGGCTATATTGACCTGTATCTTATTCACTGGCCAGGCACCCAGGGGCTGCCCGTCGGGGATAAACGAAATCCTGAAAACCGTGCTCAAAGCTGGAGAGTTTTAGAGGAGTTCTATTCTGAGGGCAAATTTCGGGCCATTGGAGTGTCTAATTACACAGTAGAGCACATGCAGGAGCTGTTAAAGAGCTGTAAAGTCCCCCCGGCAGTTCTTCAGGTTGAGTTTCACCCAAAGCTGCTCCAAAATGACCTGAGGGGTCTTTGCAAGATTAGAGGGGTGTGTTTTCAGGCATATTCATCCCTTGGAACTGGGCTTCTTCTGTCAAACCCTGTTGTTCTGGAAATTGCTAAAGAGTGCGGTAGGACACCAGCCCAAGTGTTGCTGAGGTGGGCTGTACAACAGAGCATTGCTGTTCTGCCGAAATCATCTCAGCCAGAACGCGTGAAGGAGAATGGGCGTCTGTTTGACTTTGAGATTAGCGAGGAGGACATGGAAAGGCTCTCCGCTCTTGACTGTGGGGAGAAATTCTGCTGGGATCCCACACAAGTTTCTTAATTGAGAGAATTGATTTACAAATGCTGAGGAATTCCTCCAATTTCTGATTTATAGCACACAACATAACCCACATTTTATGATTAGCTTGGTACTGTAACTCTTGCTTAAATCAGATTTGGAAGCAACTTATCCATTAACAACTTGCAATACAGAATCCACTTAACTGGACTACTCTGAAATGTCAAAGCTGTATGCTCAGGTTTAGGCTCTGTTTACATTTGCTTCTATGCCAGAACAATTTACTGGAATATGACTAATACACAAGTGAGCAAAGTCATTTTAATAGACACTGCTATGTACTATCAACATGAAGAACAGTGTGTGGACTTTACATTTATGAGAATAACAAACAATGCTGAAAGTAGTTTATTAGGTTTTTATTAGAATATATTGGTTACAAACAATAAAAAAAAATTACATCACAGTAAAATAATTGTCTTCATAAAAAAGTTACAAGGCATTTAAAATCTGTCATATTCAAGTAATACCAGCAACGATGGTGTCCCCTGTTCCTGCTGTCTAGGGTATTTACCCATCTTTGTGTCTGGGCTCTTGTGCTTATTGGTGTTGTTGTTTGTGTGGACAATTCCAAGACATTTTATGACTCTGAGATGACGATAACTCTGGGCCTTTGAAGAGTCCAAAGGTCCTTCACAGTAAAACCAGATTTTGTACAGCTGACTGTCTAAAATACGGTTAGATATGATATCTAATGTTTTTAATGTTTATGTATTGGAACATATTTCATCTTAAAACCGATACGGCAGATTGAAAGAAAGTCTGTGCTTTGCGCAAGTTTACATTCGCATTTATAAAATTTACTGCATAATAATCCCAGAGCTTGAGGAAATCCATTTTGTTGTCTTCGTGGCCATTGCACTTGCCAGTGAGAAACAGATCATGCCTTATTCAATAGTCAAGGGTCCCAGTGCAGCTCCTGACTTTAGAACCAGTCAGTGGAATTATGTCTTCTGTTCAAAGCAGAGCACCCTTATTTTCTGCCATCAATTGTTATGTACAGTAGTTCTCTTTTCTGTCTTCATCCATCAGTCATTCACTGTCAGTCACTCTGCGGGGCGCGACTCCGCATCAGACTCTTTGTGACTCCAAAGAAATGCCAACCAGCTGGGCGATTGACTCATCTGACGCGCAGTTCCTGCACTTTTTACTCTCTTCATCTGCTAAAAGATAAAAAAAAAAACATATTAATTCTCAATTTTTAACTAAACAAATGAATTTAACGAGCATGTTTACTATTTTAAAAGCTTCAATTCACACAAAGAATATATTTTTGACTACAAAAGCAAAATTTAAAGTGTCATTGTCTATATATATATATATATATATATATATATATATATATATATATATATATATATATATATATATATATATATATATATATATATATATATATATGGGCAGTGAAAAGCAATCAGCACTGTTTAAAAATAAAAAGTATCAGAGAAATGTCATATGCAATGTGCACACATACAAGATGCAGTTTGGCTAAAATAAACCAAAATTTATTCATGACACATGGGTGGCACAGTGCTGTCACCTCACAGCAAGAAGGTAGCTGGTTTGAGCCCCGGCTGGGTCATTTGGCATTTCTGTGTGGAGTTTGCATGTTCTCCCCATGTTTGCGTGGGTTTCCTTCGGATGCTCCGGTTTCCCCCACAGTCCAAAGACATGCGGTATGGGTGAACTGGGAAAGCTAAATTGTCCGTAGTGCATGCATGCATGTATGTATTCTTGTATGTATGTCCTGGTCCTCCAGATTGGGCTAACAACTGGGCTAACCAGGGTTGGGCTAACAACTCGCCTCATAAAAACTAGACTAAATCTTCTTAAAAATGTTTTATTTTTTGGTCTGAAATCTAAAGAAAGGTGTAATATGGCAATGGAGCAACACCAGAGTAAGCAAATTGATTACTTAATATGCAACTTTAAGTGAACGATTGCTACAATAAAACTAGAGATGCTGATAATAACCGATTAACTTTTAACTAAAAATGTGCATTTTTAACCGATTAATGGTATCAGTTAAATTATTAAAAAATATTATTTTATTAATTTTAAAACTTTGGCTGCATAAGGGGCTGATCACAGCGAATGCGCTTTTTGCGTTGAGAGGGACATCTTTTGAACGGTTTACAAACGGCTGCGAACGTTTTGCGGTGCCCTGGATTTTTGTCGTTGCACGCTGTGTGCTTGCAGTTGAAAAAAAAAGTCAACTCTGACCAGAAAAAACATGTTATGTCAGTTGCATCTTTTTCAGTCCTCAATCAAATAAAAACAGGTAGGGTTTCCATTGATTAAATGCTTATTTTCCTTGGAGCGATCGATTTGAGGTAACTTGCTATTTTTAATTGACGGGAAAAAATAAACATCATTAAATTCAGTCATTGTTTTCATTTTGTAATCTAAACTAGTTATTTAAATGAAAAATATTTAGGGCAGGACTATTTATTTTATTCTTTTTATTTAGTTCTGTTTTTCTATCCTGTTGGAAACGCTGCAGGTGCTTGAAGATGTGCTGTTCTGATGTTCTGTATGCTATTGTTCCCGCGTTAAAACAAATCAGTATTTTGTGTCAGACACAAAACAGACACCTTAATTATTTTTTATTATTAAATAAAACTTAATGCTAATCTGACCAGTTAACCGTTAATATTCAGTTAATGAGTGGCAGTTGTTGGTTATCAAAATTAACCGAAATGAGTATCCCTAAATGCACCTTGAGCATATTCCTTTCATAATTCAAACCTTCCTCTGCTCCTTTTATGGCACCAAATAATAGTTTCTCACCCCTTTATCAAACTCATCACTCATTCTTCTCAGCTGTTGGCCGTATTTCTTAGCTGCCCACAAAGCAGGAGGAGCTGAGCGGGATCTCGGCCTGAAAGGATCCCCAAGCATATGAGGATCTTCTGCAACTCCAGTTTCCAGCAAGTCCTCCTCATTCATCGAGAGGTTCCTCTGTCTGCCCAGTTGCTCTCCTACAATGATATTAAATGTTCAGATCAAACCTCACAGTAGAATACACTGCAAGTATTAAATAATTTTAAATGATTCATTTGGATTTAAAAGATCAAACCAATGAAATTACAGAGATTATCCATAGGAGATATTACTCTGATTTGAGTCCCTTTTGAGCAATGCATCATACTTTGCAATAGCCTGATGTCTTGTAATTGTGGTTAGCAGTGCTGTGTGTCTCCAGGATACAAGAAAAATGACGTGTGTACTTGTAACTATCCCACAAGCCCTTGAGACTCACTCACCTTTCAGCCTATCAGGAACAGTGAGGTGCTGCTTTTTCTGTGCCGACCCACTCTTGTGTTTATCCAGGCTTGAGTCTTCACTGTCTTCCATTGTTTCTGTCTCTGAATCATCAGAGATATTAAACATATGTGCCATGATTGAACTGAAAGAAAAAAAAGCAGTTGCATTTGAATGTAATCATGTCTAAGTTTAAAGAGACAGTTCACCCCATTACTCACCCTCCACCTGTTTGAGTTTCTTCCTTTTTTTAAGACATTATGAAAAATGTTGAAAACTGGTAGCCATCGATTACCATAATGTTTTTTATTTTTGTCTATGGTTAACTGTTTTCAACATTCTTCAAAATATTTTATTTTTGTTTTTAATCAGTAGAAGGAAATGCAAGTTTGAAATCAGAAACCACTGAGTATATGGTGAGTAGATTTTCATTTTAGGGTGATTAACCCATTCAAGTAAATTGAGTCATTGGCTACTAAACTAATATTATAAGCCAAGGCGTTACGAAACTGGTTGTCCTCAAAGAATTTGAAATCTTAAAGGGATAGTTAACGCAAAAATGACAATGTACTCTTATTTACTTAGCCTCAAGTGATTTCAAACCTTTATGAGTTGTTTTTCCCCTTTTGAATGCAAAATAAGTTATTTTGAAAATTGTTTGAAACTGTAACCATTGAAAAATACTATGGAAGTCCATGGTTACAGGTTTAAGCATTTTTCAAAATATCTTCTTTTGTGTTCAACAGAAGAAAGAAACCCAAACAGCTTTGCGACAAGTGAAGGGTGAGAAAATGACTGAATTTTCAGTTTTGGGTGAACTATCCCTTTAATTCGCTAGTAAAGATGTACCAACCATAGCAATAGATTAATACAAGCAACACGTTTCTGTGGAGCTTCGTGAACCACCAAGAAAACGTTACGGTGGTCTAAATTCAGTTTCACACTGGTTTAACGCTATAATGTAAAGTGGCACAGATGAGTTTTATTTTTAGAAAACTACTAACCTGCTTTATTTACACCTGACCGACAACAAACCAAACACGCTAAAAGCTGAATATGCTCGTCGATCTTTGTATGGTGGCATGGCAACCTTAACAATTATTACGTTACACGTTCAAATTCAAAAACTAAAATCAACAGGAAACTTCTGTTTACAACTTTGAGGATCGTAAAATGAAGTTATAGCAACGAAACGCAACAGGTTATTTACTTTTTGAGTTTTCAGTCCTGAGTTGTAATGCTTTTAGCGTCGATTTTTTGTTTTGTTTTATTCAATTACAGATATTTCAACTATCGAGTTACCTACGGAATGCAGTAGTTACCTACCGTCTTGCGTGCAGTCTTCCGGGTGATCTGTGTCCCAATGTTTGGAGGACTGGCTCTGTTTGTATTTCTGCTGCCTTCCTCACTGACAGTATAACGTCAGTGTTGCCAGATATAGGTGACTTTTCCCAGCCCAATAGCTGTCCAAAACCCGCCCAAACGCAAAAAGCCCAAAATATTAGATTACTATTTTATTTAATTTGGATTAAATAAAAAAGTAACCTAATTACATAACTAGTTAACACTACCCCTCTTACCCATACTGTGGAGATAATACTAGAGTATTTTCCTGCGGTTGGGCCCACGCGGTTTGCGCTATGCACTGGTCACTACTAACTGAATGGAATAGGAGCACACAGTTATGTTTTGTTAAATTAGTTGCATATAAAATTTACGATTCAAAACTGCCCACATTTTTGACAAGTCGCCCATGCCTTTTTACCCCCACAATCAAATTCAAAACAACTCAATCTGGCAACATACCGTGCTATGTGGAATAGAGGGGCAATAAGGATTTTAAAAGGTTTAGTGCCAAAATTAAATAATCACCAAATCAAAGGGGGAAAAGTAAGCAGATTGCTAAAACAAACAAACAACACAAATGTTTTTAATTCAACGTTAAAAAAATAAATGTTGCCCTGCCTATTTAAAACAAATGGAATCTTTATTTAACCTCATAATAAACAGTGCAAAGCATTCTGGATTTAGTAACCAGATTAATAAAAACCCTTGTGATAAAATGATGTTACATTTCAATGCCCACATTCAATAAATGACTAATGTTTCAATATCCTTTACACATTAATAGTCAGATAACGGCTTGAATTAACTGATTACAAATTCAAACACAATGAAAGTAAATTGCTCATAATTTATTATGATATATAATTCAAATTTTCTTGATTTAATTTACTTTAATAAAAATTCTACTTTGTACAAATTTTTTTTTTTAATAGGGTGGCGCAGTGGGTAATGCTGTCGCCTCACAGCAGGATGGTCGCTCGTTCGCAGTTGGCATTTCTGTGTGGAGTTTGCATGTTCTCCCTGTATTGGTGTGGGTTTCCTTCGGGTGCTCCGGTTTTCCCCACAAGTCTAAGACATGCGCTATAGGTGAAATGGGTAATGGGGTTGCAGCTGGAAGGGCATCCGCTGCGTAAAACATTTGCTGGATAAGTTGGCGGTTCATTCTGCTGTGGTGTCCCCAGATTAATAAAGGGATGCCAATCTTAATTCCTGGAGGGCCGCAACCTTAAAAGTGTTTAGAATACATCTCCCAAAACCAGTGTATTTTTTTTCTGACTACAAGTTTAGTCATGTAGTTTGTAATACGTACAAAACATGTATGTTTACCCTGCAGTGCTAATAAATAATGGATGATTAGCATTGCCCCACTAGCTACATGGCTACCAAATAAATGAATGCATGCAAATGAAATATTGATGAGTTGAAGTTATTTTATTATTTAGCTTTTGTCTTCCAGCTGAGTTCATTATGAATGGTGGATTTTTTAAATTGGCATTGATTACTGCATTGCTTTGCTTTTAGATTTTACTAGAATGGTAGTGATAATGCAATAATTATTATTTATTTATTAAATGCCCAGAATGAACGGTATTTATCATGGTACACAAACCGCTAGATGTCGCTGTTTTGCAATGCAGGGTTTGTGTTTTGCTTTTTGCGGGTGGTTTTCAGGTTAAATAAATAGCATAAATATTCTCTCACAGTAAAATATTTTAATTTACAAATATAAACACATATTTTCTTCATTAACTCGCATCATTTTTGTTTCTTTGTTTATATTTTTTTTTACCCAATACAATCAAAATGTAAAACTTTTTTTAAAATGAAAAATGTGTCATCAACATATACTCATAAAAGTTGTACTAGCAAATCCAGTTTACCTTTGTTAACTCTGAAACTTATTCCTCTGTAATCAGTTGTTCAGCAGTTATACCGGAAGTAAAAGCTCCAGGATTTTCCCCCTCTCTCACTCTGGGCGCTGTGCGTGTGTTGTGTGCGCTTCGCGAGGATATGGAAGATGGCGAGCGCGGAGATCGCGGCGGAGCATGAGCGAATCTTGCGGGAGATTGAGAGCACAGACACCAACTGCATCGGCCCAACACTCCGGTAAGTCTTCGTCTAATGTACCGGGTTCGGGCTGTGCTGTGACATTTTGACTCAAAGGCGCCCGGAGACGCTGATCTCCTTGTTCTCTCAACTTCTCACTCCAGAGATTGCCAGGAAATCTTCCATTCAGGTTGTCAGGCTGGTGAAGTAGGTGCTTAGTAGCGGTTTAGAGAAAGTTTTAGTTAGTATTCCTCTCACGCGACTGCCTGCATGGCTCCTGGGAAGCAGGCGGATATTGGAGAATAATGAATAAGGAACAACCAAACAAACCAAAAGAAATATGAACGCAGAGTTGTGCTGTTGCTGTCCATTGTATGTAAGGAAGTAACGCAGGCTTTTATGTTCTCATAACATTGGCGTTTTTTTGGTCCAAATGTATTTCTCTGCGTCAGAGCTTCATGACTCATTCGTTTTGATTGGACTTTAATAATAGTTATGAGAGTTGAAAGTTGATCACTAAGAAAATCTTGAACCATGTCCATTTACAGCTGTTCTTGGGATATTTAATAACGTAGAGATGTTTAATAAATATGAAAGACAAGCCATGTTATTTGGTATGGTAATTGCCTAAAGGATCATTGGAAAACTGAATATGTACCTAATTTGGTATGGAGATCTGGTAAACATGCTTGCTTTGGAGAGGTTGGGAAAAATTCTATTCAATTCATTTCAAAATTGCTTTATTGGCATGACTGAAAATATTGCGAAAGCTTGACATAGGAGGACAAATAAAAACTACAATAAAATATGAAAATAAAAGAATAGAAACAAAATGTAATAATTTTAACTTAAATGAGCAATGTAAGAAATAAAAACATGAAGATTTTAAACAACAGTGCTTAACATATAAACACACACACGGACAAAGGGTGACTGTGGTATACCGTAGGGAAGCATACAGTAATACACACATTACACGCATAGATATATCATGATATGAGATGAATCAATAATGAACAAAACAAGGCGACAGATATTAGAACACCTCAATGCATTGGAAGAAATGCAAGCATAAGCAGTGACCCCTGTCGATTAAATAGTTATTGAAGTTTGAGTGTAATTGATTTTCACTATTCATAAGCTATAATGTTTTAACAATGTGGTCGAACTAATATTTGACAATAACACTATAGTCAGAATAATGTATTTTTCTGGTAATACGAAAACAATGTTACTTTATAATTATATTTATGATTCACTTTTATTCATGCATTACCTGACTAACTAAGTTATATTTTGCTTTAATGTGCATTTGTACTTCTGTGTTCTGTTGTTCGGTTGTTCTGTCATGGGTTAGTGTTTTTATGTATTGTATTAAATACATTGTAAAAATTCCGGGTTGCCTTGAATTTGCAAGCTAAATTAGATTAACCTTATTAGTCAGTTGAACTTGTATTATGTTAAACTGGCTTAAAACTGTTTGTGTAACGTCTAAAATTAAGTTAGAACATATTTAACATAATTTATCAAGTGGCAATGAGCTAAAAACAATGTTGTCATGACTAATTGATCATATAATGTTTTACAGTGTATGTATTTATTATATTGGTTATTTTTCTTCTATATTATTTTGTTGTAGTTTTATAAAATGCAAAAAGCACATAAATAAACTTTAAAGAAATGTTCACTAAGACTGTTCTGTTGTTTGTTGTCAACAAATCAGCATAGATAGCTTTAGTGGATTTAAAACTTTTAACCAGACTGAACTACATTTGCTCACCACAGATTTCAGTTAAAGGTTATCAGGTATCTGGCAGAAACCTTTGACATTTTAGGAAAGGATGTGTTTATGAGAGTTTAAACGGAATCAATTAGCCAGTAGTGTTTTAGGTTAGTTGATTCAGCTTTTGTTGATCTTTTACTGCATTTATTTATTTATTCATTCAGAGCTATTTTTAGCAGAATGACATCAGATTATATGTTAACGCATTATGATATCTCAAATAAAGCTGGGAAGTTTGAATAACAAGATGCAAAACATCTTGAGAGTGGTCACATAATGTAGAAAGTGTAATGTGCCATTCTTCAGCACTATAAAGTAAGTAGTCAGCACTATAATGACCATTGCGTTTGGGAACAGAGATGAGGTTCTGAAGGTGAATGCGTACTTTGGCTCTTAGGGTCATAAAAAAAAACAAGGTCAAGAATCTTGGTGTTCTACTGGGGTCCGTTCTTCGTACCTCGCTTAAATGATCTAAGATTATTTGGCAGATCCTGGATCTTTTAATCTTGATAACTGATCTCTCGCTAATTTGGTTCTTCAAACAAGTTCGCGAATCAGATTAGAATGTCTGGATAAACTGATCTGAGATCGCTGTGTGTGTTGTGAAGGACAGATCTATCGATCCTCGAAATCATGATCAGCAATGCAGCGATTGGCCGACGGCACAGCAGCGTAATGACATCATCTGATTAATATTCAATTATCCATGTGAGCAAAATTACATCAAATTAGCAGTAAACGGTTTGTTAAATATGACACGCGATAACCTTCCAAATTTTTTGTGAGCTGCAGGCTTTACACTTTCATGTGTCAAGAGTATTCATCATGTATTTCAATGCAAATCAGTGTATTTAGTTCTACATTTAGAAAATATTTTCTTTATTATAGTAGCCGTTTTTTTAATCGGTGTAAAGAATGACTGGATGTTAAATACAAAATTAACTGGAGGTTAATACAAAAGCATTTTAATATTGGTAAAGGCGTCTGGAACTTTTGTGAAGCATCAAATCAACGGCATATTAACTATCAAAACATGTCTATGACTGCATAAATGTATTATTGCTTTAAAAAAAAAAAGTGACATATTGTGCATTTCTATTATACACAATTTGTACTAAAGCGATCTAAAAAGTTAATATAAATAAGTTTTCTCTTTGCACCACCAGGTGAGTCTTTGTACTTTCATTTCGAGGGTGCAGATTGCATAAGTTTTATTAATATGTATAACTTTATTTATTTTATTAATAACTATAACTTTATATATATATAGGTAAAAAATATGTACCATTTTCCCAAGTGTATATAACTACTACTGTAAGAAAATATCAGAATTCGGAACATACTTTCTGTATTATCTTTGCTTGAACTGAGCCGATCTAATCCTGTTTATATGAATTGAACCTTCTCCCGATCAGGTTTGACCTAGCAGAACTGTTGCTATGACAACAACTCTCGGATCAGCTTTGAAGAACGAAACGATCCTGAATCGTGTCAAATCGTCAATATCCAAATCCAGCTAACTGAGTAATCCACGTACGAAGAACAGACCCCTGGAGTCAGATCTGAGCTTCAGTAGTCACGTCAAACTATCATCTATCATCTCAAAAAAATTGCAAAAATGAGATGCTTTATTTTCAGTGAAGACTTAGAGAAACTTGTTCATGCTTTTATCAGCAGCAGGGAGGATTACTGTAATGGCCTCCTCACTGGCCTTCCTAAAAAGACAGTCAGACAGTTGCAGCTCATCCAGAATGCTGTGGCCAGGAGTCTGAGCAGAACCAGAAAATCAGAGCACATCACACCCATCCTCAGCTTCTTACACTGGCTCCCAGTTACATTCAGAATAGATTTTACTTGTCTATAAATCACTAAATGGCCTATGACCTCCATACATTACAGACTGAATACAAACAAACAGATCACTAGGATCATATATACTAGAAATTCCATAAAGTCCAGTCAAAGCAGGGTGCGTAGGCCTTCGGCTACTGCACCCCTGCTGCTGGAATCAGCTTCCAGAAATGATCAGATGTGCTCCAACATTAGGCACATTCTAATCAAGACTGAAAACACATCTGTTTAGCTGTGCCTTTACTGAATAAGCACTGTGCTATGTCCGACAGATGGCAGTATTATGTCTTTCTTTTCTTTTTAAAATTCTTTTATAACCTGTTTTTAACACATTTGAATCTGTTTCTAATAAGTTTTATTATTTGTTTTTATTTTCTTATACTTGTCTTTTATTTCATATTTATGTAAAGCACTTTGAATTGCCACTGTGTATGAAATTAGGTATATAAATAAAGTTTAAGATTGAGGTAAAGTAATTTTTTTTTCTTTTATTCGCACATTCACATCTATCCGTTTATCAAAAATTTCCTTAACAATATACTTTCAGAAAAAAGTTCTTTGCAAACTCTAACTAGTGAAATCGCAGCCAATGCAAATGTTGTTTTGAAGTCATATTAACATGCAATTTTAGATCAAATATTCAAAGTAGTGTAATAAACAATATAGAGACTGTGTCAAAAGTTGTCACTGTTTAAAAAATAAACAAATGTGCAAATAAAAAAAAAAAAAACTTTACTTAATAGATTTAAGGCTGCACTCTTTTTTTCCATGTGGTTGACTTGTATCTGTCAACTATATAGACTGGATACAAGTACCAATCACTCGTTTCATTAAGCTCATGTTACATGGTGACTCATTTGTGTTTTTATATGTTGCTCAGATAGTGCAACTTTGCGATGCTAATTTTGGTGCTAGCAGGGTGTGTGGTGCACACTGATAACAGTTTCATATTTTCACACCCTCTGGTGGGACTTTCATTTACAGAAAAAGCCTGACCTTTTTGGGTATTGTTAAAATTAGCATGTTATTTATTATATATTGCATGTTGTTGTGTTTTTAAAAAAATTTTTTATCAAAGATGGGCTGCACAATATATAATTTCAGCATCCATATCGCAACGTGTGTCCGCAATAGTCACATTGCAGGATATGCAATGTTGAGTTGGGATTATAGTTGATCAACAGTTGAGAATACATGCGATTTGGGAAGTCATTGCAAAGTATAATCCTTAACAGAGTAAAACTTTATCATTTGCATGTGTTTTAAAGGTATTTCAAAAGAGTGTAAAGTATTCGGCACAATAACATTCTTCATTTGTAACTTTAATGAATAAAAATGATACAGAATTATTAATTTAATTGAAGACTATACAGTTTTATTTGAAATTTTATTATTCCATTTCTGTTCCTGAATACTAATTGACTCT